CATCTTTGTGAAAAACTTGGCTTCATTTCATTGGCTATGTAATCCCTTTGTCCCTTTATTAATGAGTTCAGTGACCCATCCCCTGCAGATACTCTATGTGCTACAGTTTGCTTGGCATCATACTGTGGTATTGACTATCAACCTGCAGCTTTCAGTTGCAATTTCGGTCATACTCTTTATGTCTCTGACACAGGGAGACCAGTTGCAGGAATTCAGCTTTAAAAATACAGTGCTTTATACAATGACAACAACATGTATTCACCTCGTGTACATAGTTGGATGAACATTATATTCTGAACTTCTTCATATAATGTCCATCAACAGCTAAATTTTACAAATGTCAAATCATGTGGTGTGAAGCTTCCTGCTTGGATCTGTATACTGTGTTGTTGTTCTGGTTTTGCTGTAGTTAATTATACACTCAGAGGACCAGTATAGTGATGACTCAATTTGATATATTAAATGAATTGTGGAACTTTTCATGGCAATGTGTGAGCAACAGGTTTGACACTGATCTGTCAATTAAATTTCCGGCCCACACCTACTTGCAGTTGTTGTTGCTGTTTTGACTGCAATAGTTGCAACAAGCCTGATATCTGAGCTCATAATACGTTGATGAGGGAGATTTGTTATGTGAAAAACGCTGTCCATGGTACTGAACGACCCTGGCTTTACTGATTACAGGCAAAATACAGTAAACGGGCGATACATTGTCATATTAAAGTGGTGAATAGTAATATTTTCCTCTCTCCTAGTTTAAATTCAACAATGGGAGGTTGAACTGTTAAAATTATGAGAATAAACCCTGATATCTCAATCGATCAGACATTTTTTTTTTGGTATAGCAACAGAACTTTTTCTCCGCTATTGTAGTAATCTCTTCCATGTATTTCCCGGTAGATTTGCTAATAGAATACATAACGAAGTAACGCAGCACGTCTTCATGCAATTTCAAACAATATACATTGATGTCCTCTTGGTGTCACTGTAACATAACGAGCCCAGAAAACACATCGACCCTCCCATATCAAAGCTTTTGTTTGGCGTTTCGCAGAAGATGTTGCATTTAATACAGGAACGGGAGTCGTGTGAGAGCGTTGTCGATCCAGTCTAGAAAATTAAATTGTA